TGAACTCAAAAAAAGAAAGTGAGAATCCAAAACAAGCTAATCTTACATATTCCAAACATAAATACATTTTGAATAACATGAGTTACTCAAATTATTAACTTTTAACAAATTTTATTAAGAGTAGTTAGTTTATTATCGAATTATTTTTAGTTAACATTCTCTTACTACTTTTTGTGTATTTTTTTTAGTGATTCCTAGTAGCTTAGAAATTCAAGAAACAAAATACTATTTATTGTTCTTCTATCGAGGTTGAATATCGTACTTTTGAGTTGTGCTTGTGAGATTGTTTGGCTTACTAGTTTTCTGCATGATCTTTCTGTTCCTTTTGAGCTTCCCGCATTTCTTTTTTGTGTTAATTAGTGATTCAGTCTGTCATACATATTGTTTTGAATCCCTTTATCATGAATGCACTAAATATGTGCCCTGGGGGATGATGTAGTGGTAATGACATAGGGCTTTGTGATATCACCGGTCATGAAGTCTTGTGTTCAAACACTGTGTTGGTCACAATGTTGCTCAACCCAGACAACGAGTCCTGATTATAAAGATTCACTAGCATAAGGCACACGACATCAGTTCTAGAGATAAAAAAAAAAGGTGAACACGCTACATGTATTAAGTTGGATGTCATTTTATTCGAGAAAAGATTGTTGCTAGTTGATTCTTTTACGAAGTCGTCGTTGCCTCCTACTCTTTTGTTTCCTTTGTTATCCAACATGCGCGTTATGGATATCAATGTCCATCTTGAGGGGCATATTAAGAGTAATTAGTTTGTGATTGAATTATTTCTAGTCCAAGTAGTTTTCTTCTTATGTATAAATAAGTGAAAATTTGTCAACCTGAACATAGTTCAACCCGTTAAAAGATCGAATTTCCAACACTCACATATTGTATTAGAAAAAAATAGGTAAATTTTCAGTACTCTACAATTAACGAAGAGATTTTTTTTCACCTTTATTTCTATCCCTTTCTCTTTTATTAGTTTAATAAATTTAAACAAATATATTATTGGAGATTAATTGAATCAAACTTAGGCCCAGTAGCTTAAAGCATGTGCATCATTAAACAAAGAACAAACTTTAATATAAAAGTATAACATATATTATCTTCACTTTAAGTTCCATCGAAGAGAAAAAATGAAGAGATTAGAATTGATGAACGATTGATTAAATGGAAAAATAGTGCCACGCGTATTCTTTTAAGTTTAATCAGAAACTAAATGCGATTATGTATATCATTTTAAAAAATCTCACACTCAAATCCAAAAAAGCTAGTGGGTACGTGGCTAAGTATTTTTCTTCAACAATCACTTTGTTTTTATTAGTATTTATTAAAAATATCATTCTTTATGGAAAGGTTCTTATACATTTTTTAATGTATTCTCCTTTTTCTATTAAAGAAATTCGTTTTTATAAGAAATACTATTTTGTTATATCATATAAGATAAAAATCCATATTTGAAATTCCACTTTTCGGAAAATTAATGTTTCATAAAAATATTATTATTAGAAAAATTATTTTCTAAATAATTTGGGATTCGACCTCTTACCTATTGGTCAAGTAATTATTTTTTTTCTTTATTTTTGGCCGAGTAGTTTTTTTTCTTTATTTTATTTTAGCGTTTTTCACAGAAAATTATTCTTTTAAAAATCACGAATTTATGATAGTGATGTGAAGAGGAATAATTATATTTATCAATCATTAAATTTCAATAATCATTTTGAAAATTAAAATAGAATATAGATTTGTTTAATTGTATTATAAGAGCCTAATGTCTAGGGATATACCAACAAATAAAGAAAGCAAACCCATTATTTATATATATATATATATATATATATATATATATATATATATATAAATGAAGCTAGTTTTAAATTTAAAATAGCTATCTTTTATGTTAGTGCTGGGATTTTGGTCTTCTCCGTTCTCTCCAGAATGTGCACTAAACTCGATGATCAAGGGACTGAATATCTGCAAAATCAAGTAACCCTAAACTTGTGTGACTAGTCACACGGGCTTCGACGCCTAAGTCAGTCATAGGAGAATAATCAAGCAATAGTACTTGGTGTGTGTTTTCGCTTACCTTCAATGGGTGATTCCTCCCCTATTTATGGTTGATCTTTCTCTTAGAGTTTCACGAATTCCAACCCTAGGTCATCTCCAGATGGTCAGGCTTACTGGTCGTGATACATGCGGGGCCTTTTACCAGGTTTGGGCCCGAACATTGATTGGTTGGCACTGGGATCAGGAGGGAGGCCGAGAGCCTTCTCGACCTAAAATGGAGAAGGGCTCGGCACCTCAGCGCCAAGATGGGGTCGACTCTCCAGTGGGCCGGCCCTTATGCTCTGGGCCGACCCCAGTCATTGGTGGTCTCAATTCTTCCTTCTTCTTTTACGGTCCAATCTTTATTCTCATATGAATCGTATTGCTCCATATAACATTTTATGCTATGAGAAAATTGCATTGATAAGAAATAAGAAACAAAATGAGGAGGTTTCATCATCCTCAAAGTTTGAATAAAATAAATGAAAGATGAATTTGATTTTTTTTCCTATTTTTCAAAAGCATAAATAATTTTTTTCTAGTCATTGGGTTAAATTTGATTAATTGTTACTTAAGCATTATTTCAAATGACTAGGATTCTAATAATCTCTACTATTACCTACTCAAAGGCCATTGATATGAATTTCACATTTTATTTAAACTATAAAAATAACTAAAAAAAATTCATTATCCACCAGCGGTAATAAAGCTAACCTATTTCCTCAAAAGAAAAAAAAAGGTAACAAAGCTTCATTTGAAAACATTATGGATCCAAAAAATAAATAGTTTAAATATTACTCCCTGAAATTTTCTTTTCATTTCGCTTCATTTCTTATAAAATATACTACAATGGTAAATGTTTATATAAATTAAAATTTTGAAAGAACTAGAGAGTCCGAGATATAATCGTTAAAATTCAGTCATCTATATTAATTATATAAATTCGTGATATTTTAGATTTGTAATAATCAAAATAATAATATTTAAGATTAAAGTTTGATTTAATGATAATATTCTTTTTAATTTTTTAAAAAAGAGACTTTGTTTTCGAACTTTTCTATTAAGAAAACCCTTTTAAAACTTCAGCTAAGTTTTTACAATGAGAAAAAGAGTGCTTATAAAAACTAATTATGAACTTATGATTTTCTTGACCATTTAATTGGAGATAGGTACTTCAGCTACGTTCATATTTGACAATCACACCCAATATCGATAGTAATATTTTATAGTGCAAGTTTATTTTTTTACATAATAGGGATAACCTCGAAGCTCAAGAAAATGGGTAAAGTATATTTAGATGCATGTAATTTTTATTTGTCCTTGTTGATATATAAATGAGGTTATGAGTAAAATATTCACCTAATTACCAAACAAATTTTAATATTTAAAAAAGGAAAATTTAATCGTCTCTATGTAACCAGTATTGTATTATACAGAGAAACAAAGTTTGTATTTGTATATTCATATAAAATTATCTACGCTCCATCGGCATCCCCATATTCGAGATCTTGAAGTCGAATCCTTCTGTTGAATCTTTCAATAAACTCTTCAACTCTTCTATTCAGTTCTTCATCTGTCATCTCTTCAAATTCATTATCTTCCTTCGACGCTTCTTCTTCTTCGTCGTGTAATTTTATCGTCATCGTTTTCGACCTCCTCATCGCGATCTTCCTCTCCTTCTCCACCGCTTTCTCCGACTTGCTTCGCCGGTAAGTTTTCGCCGAATTACCTCTCCTCGTCTCTCGGTAACTTTTATTAGGTCTCTCCCGAACGATTTTCACTGCGCTGTTTTCCGATTGCTTCGATTTGATCTGCTCGGGCGGCGGAGAGAAGGCTCCGAAATCGACGGCGATTATGAAAATAAGAGTATTGGAGATGCAGAACCAGAATTTGGCGTCGCTGAAGAGCGTCGGGAGATCGGAGAGGTTGAGGACGGAGACGTAAGTGAAGATGGAGAGAAGGAAAAAGGCGAAGAAAGAAGGAGCTCCTTCTGCGATTAAATTGAGGTATTCTTCGGCTAATTTGTTGTTCGCCATTGATGATTCTGCTGGCTGCAGCTACTGGATTTTATGATTTAGGGTTTGTGGAGAGAATTTGGTTTGATTTGGGGTTTTTTTTGAAAATTAGTTGATATGGAAGTTTGAATTGCAAAAGAGGCCTTTTTATAGGGTGGTTATGGGTTATGAAACTTATGATTAGGGTTAATTCCTCATTATTGCACCACCCCCCTAATTACAACTTTTTTTCCTCCTTTTCTTCTATTTACTCATGTGTCCTTTTCATTACATATATAATTTATTTTTCAATTTAAATGCACCAAAAGCTTGCTTTTGTTTAGTGGAAGCTTCAATAATTCTAATTTCTTTATTTAATAAATTATAAAATATAAAAAAGGCCTAAACTTTAACTAACCACGCAGGCAAGAGAACTAAAATAAATAATTGCATTTTGTTGTATACATAAAACATAAAACAGCCTACTTTGTAAAAATAAGATATTTAAGCTATTTAGGAGTCAACTTTAAAAGTATATTATAATTTTAAGAAAAATAAAATATTTGTGAAAATATGGTTGGACACGTGTTTTTTTTCTTTTTAATCAAGGAAATCTCTTTATTTTCCTCTCATAATTCATCTTTCCCAAATATTAATAAAAAAGAAAAAAAGAAAAAACAAAAGGTACTGTTTTAGGATTTGTTTTACCATAAGAGTTGTTATAAACTATAACAACTCTCTTTAGTCATTTTACTCTTATTCAGACTATTGAAAGGTGTTAAAGCGAGCACCACACTGTATTGGATCTGGTTGATTGTAGGTTATAAACCTCCATAATGAAAGTTTTCGAATCATCTGAGATATCGCTAACTTAGCTCGACTAGGTTTTGACATAGCAATCTTCCATTTTCGATTATATTACTAATAATTATGTTATCATTTGTTCATGGTTCGAGTGCATTAAGCATTTGTGTAATCAATAATATATACCTTCGAATTATCATCCCTTCCAAATATATATTGAAATTTTATGACATTGTAGACAAAACAATATTTTAAATGTTAATGTCAATAGAAATGTAAAGCTTTGAATTTTATGAAAATATCGCAAAAAATATAGATAAATTTAACGTTTTAAATGTCGATGTCGATAGATATTTCTGAAAAAGTTATAAAAATAAAAAATTCTTAAAAATTATTTAAATTAAGAAATATATAAGTATTTTATCATTTCTAGATAAGCTAAAAATAATTGATATTAATAACATGTCTATACTAGTTATATTTTGTTGATGTTTTTCATATCTTGTCGATTTTTTTTTGTTTGTAATATCATGGAAATGTCGATTTACCCTCATATTGATGTCGAACTCATGAATTCGATGGATATTTAATACTATGGATAAGTCATAATATATCGATATTCAACGGTAATTGACATATACCTCCAACCAAAATGTGGTGAGTTCAAATCTCCTCTCCAAACATGTTATACTAAAAAAAAATTAACCAATAAATATTTTATCTTTTTTAAATAAATTTGATATTTTGAGTTAGATCGATATTATGCCGAACTCATAAACGTATAAAATGCTGATGTACTCATAGAAATTTAATGGATTGAGAAAAGGCAATAATTGGAGGGTGGATAGTTGTGTAGCGTAGTTTTTGGAGCCATGTTAGAGTTTTTATAGTTATTTAATGACCTTACAAGTGGACGATTCAAGTGATAAATTTAACCCACATCACTTATAGGTCTGCCACGTGTCCGACATAGTTGATGGAGACGTTAATTAGTTACGGGAAACTTCTGAAGTAAACAGAAGAATAGTTTTCTTTTCTTTTTTTCCTAATAATCTTATTTTTAATTATCCCTGGTTGTTATAAAAAATTTATCACTTCATATTTATCATTAATTTTAAATAGGTATCTAATAGACTTTGATTCACAATCTTTTAAAATATAGGATAAAATCATAATTCAACAGACACCTCAATCATTTATGAGAAGATACAAATTTAGATCTAAATTTAGAGATTTTTTTTATCATTTTTCTTTTAGTTTTCTATTTTTAAAAATTATGCCTGATTTTTACAATTTCATTCATTAAGTTTTTCTTGAAAATATGTTTAAATTCTTGGCTAAATTTTAAAAATAAAAATAAGTTTTTGAAAATTTTTATTTTTAATTTTTAAAATCTAGCTTAGACTTTGAAAATATTTAAAAACTATATAATAAAATAAATAAAGTGAAAGTAATATGAAGTTTAATTAAAAAAATCAAAATTGAAATGGTTATCACGCACTTTATAAACTAAATTTATAATTAAAATTTTTAAGACCTTTTGATCATGAATCTCTCTCTCTCTCTCTTTGCCAGTTTGGCGCGTCTGTGTAATATAATGCAAAATTGAAATTGTTCATCCGTACAAGAATAATTAGGTTTCAAAATGCACCGTTTTTAATTTCTTTTCCCTCTTTCTATTACTGTCTAAAGATCCAAATAGTGAACTGAAGGATCGAATTCTCAAAGTTCATGGCAATTGTTGCTTCGACCCACCCCATCTCCCTCCTCCGACCCAAATTTTGCACTCCAAAACCCAGATTTGGGGCAAATGCCGAGCTCCCTATAGCCCACAAAATGCGAGTACCATTCAAGCTGAAGGAGGAACAGAGCCGCATTTTTCACGAGCTCCCATCCGGTCTTCAAATGGAGGTGATTCTGCAGAAGGGTTCTGCCAAATCAGCAGAAACAAGGGCTGAAAATGTGGAACGCCCTCCTCTTATCTTCGTCCATGGAAGCTACCACGCTGCTTGGTCTTGGGCAGAACACTGGCTTCCATTCTTTTCGGCTTCTGGGTTCGACTGCTATGCTATCAGCTTGTTGGGTCAGGTGGGTCTCCCTCTCCCCTTCCACAAAATGTCAATTGATTTCCTTCTTCATGATCTGAACCACATATATGCTAATTGCTAATTCTTAGTATAAACTGCCCAAATGCTAATTCATTTGCATCTCAAGGAGCCTAAAATTGCTTTTGTGGGCTAAAAAGCTACTGAATTGTTTGCATCCAATCTTATTTCTTACTTTGTATGAATTATCAGGGTGAAAGTGATGCACCGTCTGCATCGGTTGCTGGTACTCTACAGGTAATTTAACTATCTAGCTGAAAAGTTTATCTGTTCTTTAGATGTATGTATTGGTTTGGTGGCCTTATTTCTTCATTCCAATTTTTGTAGTAGACACATGCGAGTGATATTGCTGACTTCATTCATAGAAGTTTTAGTACACCACCAGTCTTGCTTGGGCACTCATTTGGAGGGCTTATTGTACAGTATTACATAGCAAACAGCAAACATGACCATTCAGGTAGCCTTTCATTTTCATAAATCTATCTTGACAAAAATGAACCAGATCTAATTGGGATAATTCATAATCCAAAAGGTTTGTAAGATGCGGAGAGTGGAGACTTTATCTTTCTCCTAGTTTGAAATATACTCTATGTAATAAGATCAATCTTTCATATGTACATATCAAGTACAACTTGCAAGTGTCAAGGATAAGTTATTTTATACAAATATCTGTTTAATCCTTATTTAGTTATTTTATACTTGATGCACTATCTAGATACAGATAGATTGTTCCCAAGGCTTACTGGAGCTGTTCTTGTGTGTTCTGTTCCTCCCTCCGGTAACAGGTACTTCTCCATGCTGCAGAATTCAACGTTGTTTATTCATGAAAATTATCAACCCAACTTGACATCTTTCTTCACTTCCTCCAGCGGACTCTTATGGCGTTATCTCTTTTCCAAACCCGTTGCTGCTTTTAAGGTACTTGCTCGTGACTTTGAGAAATAATAACTAGTGTCGGGTGGCTTCTGCATAATTTTTTATATGGGTATTGACTTATCTTGGTTCATTGGGTATATCATAAGTGGTGGCTTCTGTTTTCCATCTTATATTTTATTAATAAAGGTATTCTAATTGAGGACATGAATATGAACATGACAAATATTTACTTAAACTTCAGTATTCTAATGTGCTCCCACACGACTCGTGAATATCTTTTCCGAATTCAAGTAGGTGACACTCAGTTTGGCAGCAAAGGCTTTTCAAACATCACTTCCTCTTTGCAAGGAAACATTCTTCTCTGCATCAATGGAAGATCATCTTGTTTTACGGTTTGTATAGTTAAAAATTGCTCAAGTTGATTTGGTTGCTGCTGTCATTGTTAGTTTTCCATTCCTCAAGTGCATAATTTGAAATTAATATCTTAGTTTGATAAGAAAAATAACAGGATGACCATAAGAAAACAAAAGATTCCTTCTTCACGAGGAACAAGGAGAAAAGTTTGTTTTAAGTAAATTGGCAATATTATTGGTTCGGGGACTGCTCATTCTACCATGATTAGGTGGAGAGTACATTAGTTTGTTCAATGATTGCTACTCTCACATAACCCAAGTCGAAAAACTTTGTGCATTCTGTGTTCAGAAGTTTTTCAACAACTTCCTACAAGCTTTTTCAGCTTCAAAACTATGAAATCCCTTCATTCTCTAATGAAACAAATATTCTTCTTGTGTCCCCCCAAAACCTCCTCTTTCAGATATCAAGAACTGATGAAAGAAAGCTCAAGGATGCCATTATTTGATCTGAGGAAGTTGAATGCATCCCTTCCGGTCCCTTCCCTCCCAAAATCTTGCATTGAAGTACTTGTGCTGGGTGCAAGTGATGATTTCATTGTGGTAAATTTCCATATTCAACTTATTCAATCTATTCCATTATTTCCAATGCCATCTGGTTTTACTCATCTGCACATCTTTGTTTTTGCTTTTAGCTTTTGGTATAATTTCCAAAACTCTATAACAAAACCATCATCAAACAAATCCTCAATTGCTACCGTTTAAATTGAAACATCTTTTATAATTGATGGGGGATTGGTTCTTGTGTAGGATGCTGAAGGGTTGAATGAAACAGGCAGGTTTTACAGTGTCACACCAATCTGTGTGCAAGGGGTTGCTCATGACATAATGCTGGATTGTTCTTGGCAGAGAGGAGCAGAAGCTATTTTAACATGGCTTAATTGTTTAGGATCATAACCATAATAACATTCCAAGAATTTTATCATTATTCACCTTTTCTTCAGATTTGTTCAAAATAACAGTGTGATATTGATGTATAAATTTCACTTTTAAACTGTTCTATGGAAGAATTAAAAAAACCACCTCAAAACTCTATATCCGTTGTCACAACCGTATCCTTTAGATTTACGAAGAGTTGGAACCAAACCACCCTTGAACTGTTACAACTTAACCCAATTCTTTTAAGCCTATAAAATTTGAAAACTGTGATATAAATAATGAAAAAAAATTAGTATTTAAATGTTTAATTGCATCACTATCCTTGAAATCGAAAGTTTGAAGGTACGATGGCAACTACAAATTTGCAATTTTTCTCAAATGTTTCTATTGAATCAAAGAATTGATCGAAACTGAAATCATAGTAATACACATCCTATAGTACAAACTAAATGTGGCAAGATCTGATAAACCCAAACATCAAAAATTAACCTTTTTCTTTTTTTCCTTTTCAAATTTTTGATTGAAAGAACTCCAGAAAAATATTTTTTCTACCAATTACAACTCTAGCATCATCATCACTACATCTCAAATATCACAAAATGAAAAGAAAAAAAAAGAAAAAAAGAGTGGAGAGCAATAGATGTTCAATGATGGTAGGGAGAAGCAGATTGAATCCGATGCTTCCTTTTCTGCAAAAACCTCTGTAAAGATTTCTTCATAGAGATCCCTGAAACAGAACCAGCTCCGGCTCCAGAATTAGTCTGCTCCGGCGACGACGGTTCCAATGTCTGTCGACGACATGTCGTCTTCTCCTCCTTCGTATGTCTGGTCGCCAGCATTATTATGGCTCTAGCCTGTTCCTCTGTAAAATCGCCAACACAAACTCTTCCATTGTAGAAAATAGTCATCTGTTGCGGATTTTTGCTCGATTCTTCACCCCTGCCACAAAATCAACCCAAAAATCAATACCCACATTAAAATTCACACGCACACAGAAGAAAAAGAGGAGGGAGAAAAAAAGGAAAACTTACAAGAAGTGGTGAAGGCGGGGCTGTTGGTCGCCGGAATCGTGGCCGGAGAAAGAAGTAGAGGGAGAGAGACGAAGTTCCAAGTTGCAGTTGCGCTCCATGGAGACGGGCAGAACCGCCATTAAAAACAGAGCAATCGAGAGAAGGAAAAAAGAGCCAAAGGAATCGAAGAATCAGAGGATTGGAGAAGATGGGTTTGTAATTTCTACACACAGAAATGGAGGAATCGGGGTAAAGGATTAAGATTTATTTATATGTATGCGTGTTTGAAGAGAGAGGCAAAAAAAGCAGGCGGAGAGAGAAAAAAAAAACACGTTTGAAATGTTGTTTATGAGGATGACAAGACAGCTTGGTTTTCTAAGGACCGAAACCATCCGCCGCTATAGATTGGGAGGTGAATTTTTATTTATTTTTTGTGTCATTTTAATCACGTGCATAAGTCGGCAAGATTTTCTCTCTCTAGATTTGTCCAGAATTATTGGTAGTAAAGTAAAGTTGGGTTTGAAAATTAAAATCTTCTTTTAGGAGTCGTAGATTGACCTTATTACTTATTATATTATTTTTTTATTATTTCTGCCGTGGTTTGTGTTTTCTTTTACTAAATCCACCGCCAACCGAGATATTATGTCATGTGACGCAATAATTCTTTCATCCCAAAAATTATTTTTTTCAGAGATATATATTAATTATCGTTGAACTAGGTTCGTTTTGGTTTTTCCAAAATTAATTTGTATGAATTTTATTATGTTTTATCGGTTGGAGATCGTGGGCGTACGGGTGTATTTTGGTAATATTCAGTGAATATTTAATAACATAATTATTTTTCTTGATATAGAAACCGTAAATCTTCGTACTTCAATTTTTAGTATAATAATATGTGGATATGGACATTCAAACTCTTTAATTGAAATTATATATCTCAATCATTTGAATTAGGTTCAGATTGGTTCCTCCTACTTCAAAAATTATCCGGCTAGATATTTAATGAAAAAATGTCAGTTTGTTTATTGAACAAACTATGTAGAAGTTTGTTTAATAAAAAAAACAAAAAAGAAACTATCTAGGAGTTAATGTAGTTTTTTAGATTTATTGGTAATAATTTTATTTTTAATTTTATCTATTTTAAAAGTTATCTCTATCTTCTCACTATTTCTTTGATATATTTTTCATTTTTTTGAAAAGAAAAATATATTTAAGTTGTTAGACAAATTAAAATTTTTTTTTTCACTTTTAAATCTTAACATAGATTTAAATATTTTAAAAACGTGGATAGATTGAAGTGTTGCATTTAAAGCATAATTTTTAAAAGTATAAATAGAAAATAGTTATCAAACCATGTCTTATAATTAAATATGAAATAAAATCTATTAACCAAGAGATTGATTAAATTAACTAATTACACAGACTAACACAAAAAATTATATACATCTGTAAGGCAAGAGTCTGATATATTGAATAAATGGTAGACTTAGAAAAAGGATCCAGCCAAAGACTCAACAATTTCGAAAGGAAGGTGTCCTGTGTGGTAATATTAAATAAAAAAGGCATTTTCTTCGCAATTTTTAAATACATTTTTCTAAAGTTTTTAATTTTCTAAAACAATAAAATCTATTTAATAAATGATGGGTAAATTTAGACTATAAATTTTAAGTGGTATCTCTTTGGTTAATAAAATTTTAAAAGTTTAACTTCTCTAACACGCAAGATATATATGTTATATATAATCCAACTTTATTACTTTCTCTAAAATTGAAGAATCTTACTACATTTGTTAAACTGAAGAAAAAAACATGATTTTTTAATGTAATAGCACATGAAATAAACAAGTACTCTAATTAGATAAAATAGATAGATTACAAACTAAGTACTCTAACCTATATGCTCTAATTTATTTACGAATTAAGTTGCATGAATTGCTATTTTCTATTAAAAGAAAAAAAAAGTCGATATTTCAAAATTGTGCATATATTAAAAATTAAAATCCAAAATCTATGTTATTTTAAAATCAAAATTTTGTCTCTCTGTTTCTCTATTTTTACTTGGAACAACACAACTTCATCTTTATAATTGTGGTTTAGAACCGCCTTTCTAAATGTAGAGATTTATTAATTAGGTATATTGTTCAACATAAATACTATTTCAAGCATTTTTCACTTATCATAAAATTTCAAACTCTTTGGTAAACAAATACCAAAAAACCAGAATAATTTCTAGAAACATAAAATTAAAAATGAAATGTTATCGAACACATCTATAAACTGGCTAGACAATTTTTAAAGTTTAGAACTCAATTAGATACCATTTATAATTTGTTTTTATTATTTTATTTTTATTTTTATAAAACATATAAACTGCCAAACAAAACTTTTATTGTACTTGATTTGAATATAGAAATTGTAAGATCCAAGCATTAAACGAGAAAAAATTAAAACCCACATGGAAGACAATTAAAAGGTTTTTTTTTTTTTTTCCATTTTTGAAAGGACAATTAAAATGTTATATGTTCATAAACTAAACCATAACAATATAAACATGATCCGATTTGTACAGAAAGGCCAGTCATATCGTTAATTATTAATTTTATTTTTAAAAGCAAAACAATTTAGAGAAAAATCAATAATACTTGTTTTTAATTTTGGCTAGTAATAATAATAATTATTTTTAAAATTTTCACGTGCTGGAAGAAGGAGATGAGATCGGCGAGTGGGTTCGGCGTGAGGTTGGGCCGAAAGCAGAGCCCACAATTTTTGGCCGTCTGCCTCCAGCTCCACCACATATTTTTGACACGTGGATAATATAATAAGAAAAAAGACACGTGGATAACGCAGTCCCCATAACAAATAATCTATGGTCGCCACTTCATTTTCAGCCGTTGAAAATTTGGACTCCTCTTCGAAATTACGGCCCAGATTACCGAAAGCTGGCTCCTCAGTAGCCAATTATCTTATTATTTGTATTATTTTTTAAGTATATTTCAAAAACGTGGCGTTATTTTACTCTACCCTATTCCAAATTTGTCAATAACATTTTTTCCGGCTTTATCTCTTATACCAAACTGTTATTAGAGTAAATATTTTAATTTCTATTACTATGATGATGAGGGCCTCCATGTGAAAATAGCTATTTTCTAAAAATTAATAATATTTGGGGTGATTCCAGCAGAGGTTAGAATTACTTTTAATCATGTCAAAATCACTACCATTTAAAAATAACATGTAGTAATTTTAGATTAAATGACATATTTGATAATAATTTTCCAACAATTTTAAAAAATCTTAAACCATAAGTAATTATCAAGTGGTTTTTAGTAAAAGAAAAGAAAATAAATAAAATTAATTATAGGGCGCTTGAGCGCTCCTTGCGATACGGCTGAAAAACTCAAATCTTTCAACCTACTTTTGTTTTTAAATTGCAAATTTCTCTTTTTATTCCACTTTATTCTAACTTTAAAAATTTGAGAAATTGTATTTTATTTTCCATTTCTACAATTTTTTTTTTGTCACTCTCACACATTATTTATCTTTAAATTTGTTTTATTTTCTCTAAAATTTTTTGTAAAATCTCTCTAAATTTTAAGTCTCGTTCTCTCTTAGCTTCAAATATGAATAATCTACCATCATTTTAATTATCTAAAAATCACTTGAAAAAAAGTTAACCAAACATTAAAATAACTATATAAAAATCATTTTCTCAAAATAAATTATCATTAAATCTCTTTTAATATCCTTAATAAAATAAAATAGTATCACGAGGAGAGACATTGGATATGAAATCATAAGCTTCCAAACTAATAATTGGAGAATGAGCTAACAACTCGAAAGCCATAAGTGGAGATTTAGAAGCGAATCTTCATGGGATATTTGTCACATTTTATGGACTTTGATTAAGTATTGAGATATGACTAACATACATTGAACCACGATGATGAATGAAATCCTTCATTAGGAAGACCCGATAGGCTTTTTTCTTTCTTCTTCTTCCCTTTTTTATATTTCTTTTTCTAACAAGTTGAATCGATTCAAATTATAGATTACAATTTTAATTTAATTAAACTAGGTCCACCAATCTATTATTAATTAATTAGGAAATATATTTATAATATTAACTATTAAATCTTTGGGTGTTGTCACAGTAACAAGACACTTGGATGATTAAATCCACGATTCGAAACACATATTGGAAGTTTTTCATACTATAGCTATTTCTATTCACTGTTTGTCACATCGGTAGAATTTAAGAACGATGCAAGTCTTTAAAATAAAATAATAAATCGATGTATTAAATTGTGAATGGAAAGAGTAGATACTCATATAGCATTAGAAATTAGAAATTTTCCAGTGGGTACATAAACAAATTTATATACAAAGCGTTCAAAATATGCAACTTTATCTATTTGTGAAAATGATAAATAAGACGCGGCTCACTAAATTTAGGTTAGCAAATTGCAACCAACAACATTATGAAAGACAACAACATAGGGTTAATTGAACTAAAAAAAAAGTTGACTATTAAGCAATCACATACCTAACATTTATCGGATTTGTCAAAGTATCAAGATAATAAGTCATACTCCAAATTCATCACCCTTACGCTAAAAATTTCATATTTGTAACCATTTCATTTTCTCAATAAAAATATAGAAAATGACATTGATCAGATTTGTCAACAAAAATCTTTAGTATTAGATACATAATTAATTGATATATTACTTTAATGGAAGACCGGCCTACATCATTCTAAAATGTTATCTACATTCCAACACGAGCATAACTCAACGGTAATTGACATATACTCATTCTCTCAAACTCGGAAGTTTGAACTCCATATTCCCAAATTGTTGTACTAAAAGAAATATTACCTACATAGTTGAAAATATGCATGAATAATGGTGTGTGTTTTTCTTTCAAATTAATGCACCAATAGGAATTTACTTATTTAAGGTTATTCCATAAATACTAATTTTTTTAGTATAACATGTAGGATTGTAGATTTGAACCCACAATCTTTTGGTCGAATATAAATATCTGATTGACCTATAATACTAATTAACAATATATAATTTTCTTCTAGAAGTATTTTTTTTTTAAATGTACTTTTTGATTACTAGCTAGTTGACAGGAGTGCTGTACCAAATTCTAACGTGCCTTGTCTAGATAAAATTATTTACTTGGATGTTTGAGTTTTGTTTTTACTTATTTTTTAAAATAAAAGTGGAACACAAACATAGCTGGTTAGCTTAGTTTCAATTTTTTTGTTTTTGTTTTGTTTGTATGGATGATGTAGAATTTTAGAATAACCACCATTGTTCTTTCTTAAAAAATTTACATATAATAAGTCAAGAATATTCCTTATATATTAAGAACTATTATGGTATAAAGCCTACGTAAACATCTAGTAAATCTAGTCAATTGAAATTCATCGAAGAAAACCTTTCAAAATGAAAAGAGTTTATTTTTTCGTACAACTCGTTTTTTAGTACAAACATGTGGTATGCGCATTGTCCCCATAACTGTACGTACGCAAGGAGATTACATATATAGTTAGAATTGAGCATATACAATGTGCCGATGGTTTTTTTCTCTCTCTTAAACTTATTTCCCTCTCTTTAATTAAATTGTTTGTATAGCTATAAAGTAGTTTAGATGAGGAAATTAGATAGTTATAATGTAATTGTATCTTCCTCTCTCTATATATAGTTAGAAAATGGCTAGAGATTGAAGATTTAGAGATTTCTTAATTACTAACTGAATTCTTGCATGATTTTATCTAAGACTAAGAGATGGTAAATATATTTTCACCATTTTCTTCACTTGAAGTATAAAGAAAAATCTTTAAAAAATGTTATAATTTTTAAACATTCTTTTAGAATAAGAAATACACACTTGGCGCACATAGACCCCTATATTTGGTTGGTGACTCAACTTTTTGTCGGAGAAGTTTTTAGGGTTAGTAACTTAGTACACCCAAAAACAAAGGAAATGAAAAATGTAAATAAATAAAAAAATAATTGCATTTTTTTCGTTAGGCAAGAAGGGCCCCATCTATACATATATACAATCGACCTATGCTCTCTAGAACTAGAATGCGAAGAAAACCATGTCCAATATTAAATTTTCATTTATAAGATTTTAATTTTATTTTTGACTTTAACGACTACATGTAGATGAAGACGTGAATCTTGATCTTTAGATCGAGAATATATATCTTTTAACTTTGCAAACTGGCACGGTGCGGATATTCCATCTTTTGTGTGGGTTTGATGGCGAGGATATGAGAAATTTTAGAGAGCGATAGAAAATAGAGAAGAGCAGAATTCGATTTCAAATTCTTCAATTCGAATACAAACTTATCCACCTGCGGGAATCACATTTTTTGGCGGCGCTTGATCATGGTCTTCTTCAGTCCATTTTGGGTTCACTCGTCGAGAAGGCAATGGTAGCAAATTCTGTCTTTTGTTTGATGTTTATTAGTTTGTTCTTGTGTGCTATCTGTTGTTAAAAAAATATATCTATATATATAAAGATATGATTCTTTTTATTTTTTTATTCTCATTTTTATTTTTATGTAATTATCACTTATAAGTTTCTTTTATCAAATAAAGAAGACGTTAATAAGAAATAATACTACTAATGGTTATATAAGAAGAGTGGTGACTACAACCACTACATTTAAAATTTACAAAGGAAACAGCTATCTAGTTCAAAGAACAAGAATTAAATTTCCGTCCACGCCTCAAAGTCACAACATCCTCAACCTCATTTAATGCCGTTGGGGGAGACTTCTCAATTAGTGAAGGAATTTTGTCTTTTATGGCACTACTATCCACGATTGGAGGGGAAATAATTTCTTCAACAGTTGCCTTATTCTCCACAATGATAGAATTTCTTCCCTTGAAATTGGAGATTGAATCTGACACATTAATATCCCTAAAATCCGCTCCTGAGAAAAAATCGTGATTGCCATATCCGAAGACAGAACTACTCTGGCTGTAAATTCCGGCGAGTTTTCCTGCTCTTGATACATCTCTTATTTCATTCTAATTTGTGTTGTCCTAATTATACGATTATAGCCACCATTGATGGTCCTCTCATAGTGAAGTCAAGGTTCATTAGTTATGGTCGGAAACATCATCACAATCTTTTATAATATGACCCACCTGGCCACAATGGTAGCAGAAATCTGGCTACTGTTCATAGAGCATTGGTATATCCAGCAGCCTCCCATTTGGACCATCGAGGTTAGCTTTAGTTCCCCGCCATAAAAGTTTATGGATATCAATTGAAACATGACGGACCCTTAAACTACCATCCTAACCGATTTTATCTCGAAGAAAGTGCCAATCTTTTCCTCTTATTTGAAAGAAAGAACAAATGAGAAGGTATTTCTGACCTTCAAAGTGAACCTTGGGAGAGAAGATAAACTTACCCACTAGGCAAAGATCAAGACATTTTCCCGTTTCTAACAATTCAATGACAATGGTAAGTTCATCTTCTTCCGTGGTTAATTTGAAATTTTTTCATTCTCTGAACAAATCGTCCGCAGCCATTGGAAGAAAGTCAAAGGAAGACAGATGATTGAGAAGAACCTAGGTAAAAAAGACTAAGACTTACTGTGTAGACTGAGATGAAACTATTTGGAGATATAAATCACAAAAAAAGCCATTTAAGACCTATTTGGTAATGTTTTCGTTTTTTATTATTTTTTTATTTCTGATTTCTCATACTTTATTTTTTAATAAAAGAAAACTAGGTAACTATTTCTTGGTTTTTTCTTCTCAATAACTTTAAAAATTAAACAAGAAAAGTCTTGCATGAAAATTAAATACTTCAATTTTTATGTTATATTTATTTTGTAATATTTTTAGGCATGTTATGAAATAAAAAAAATATAAAGTAATACTTTTATTTATATTTAAGAAAATTAAAAATGAGAATAATCAACAGGAACTTCATTTCGTTGTTTCTAAATT